AATGCTTACTGGCATTCTTCTATTGTACTTGCATTTTTCAGGGGAAAAAAAAATCTTGTTCCACTCTTTTTTCTTTCCTGTTTAGTGAAAAATTGCTGAATACACATATAAAACCAATTGTGTTGTATTTTGAAAGAAAATGTGTATTGCAATAGACTTTGCTTCCAGTAATAGGGACAGACTCACTGGCATGCTGCCATGTGGACCCAAGAGGAGAGGAATAGGTAGAGAAATGGACAGTGACAGAGTCACAGTGGTACAGGACTGGGTGCAGCTGTTGCTGCAGATACATCATAGAGATATGGCACAAACAGAGACCAGTGGTACAGCCTCAGTTTGAAGGCAGACTCCAGGGTCAGGAAAGGCAGACCTTCACCTTTAGCTTTCTCCCTTTTTTTTTTTTTTTTTTTTTAATCAGCAAAGGATCTGACTTTGTTGGCCAAACTCTGATCTCAGCCATGGAACTCCTCTAAAAGCTTCTCAGTGTCCAGAGAGCACCCTCAATGGCTGCTGAAGCTCTTACTATTAGCTTCCTAACTTCTCAGTGAAGTGTGAACAACCTAACTGTTCATGCCAGTTGTCTATGAACTGGAAATGTTTTTAAGTTGAGGGAGGGAAGATTTAGGTTGGATACCAGGGGGAAGTTCTTTACAGAGAGAGTGGTGAGGTGCTGGAACAGCTGCCCAGAGAGGTTGTGGATGCCCCGTCCCTGGGGGTGTTCAAGGCCACGTTGGATGGGGCCTTGGGCAGCCTGGTCTAGTATTAAATGGGGAGGTTGGTGGCCCTGCATGTGGCAGGGGAGTTGAAGCTTCATGGATCCTTGGATCCTTGAGGTCCCTTCCAACCCTGGCCATTCTGTGATTCTGTGGTTCTGTCTAACTGTAATAAGAACAATAATATATAAATAAGAACACAGCATGAGCTTCCATTGCCTCTTCTTCCTTGCCATGGTCAGACAGCTGCCTGCTCCACTGCCCTTAAAGCAGGATCCAGCTTTGATGCAGATGGCGAGAAGTGCAGATGAAGGGGTGACACAATCAGTGCTCAGAGCTGTTGCACCCTGCTCTGAGTGATGAGTAGCAGTGCTGTGAGGCTGTCCTGCAATCACTAACACTTTCCTGCAACTTTTGGTTGTCCTTGGCACAAACCCTGCCCAGATACAGAGCAAAGAGTCTAGGAAAGCCCAGCACAGCTGTACTTTTTGTCTTCACATACACTTACATGCACATGTTTTAGACTTTAAGCTTTCTCTTTTCACAATACTGAAGAAAATAAAGTAGATTTACCTTGGTCTAAATGCAGCTTTGAATGTAGTGGCATCTCTTGTTCACTCATAATTAATCCAGACAACAACAGCTACAATTATAATAATATTGATGGCAAATGGGTTTGGCGAGATAATGTGCTGTCTCAACTCTGTCTCTACCACAGGGAGAAGGAACCAGAGGGAATAAAAATAATGCTGACGGAAAAGAGCTCACTGAAAAGAGTGGGGAAAAGAGCCAGAGAAAGGCTTTGGGTAGCGTGCACCTATTTCACCTGGGGTCTTGCTTCAGGCTGCGGTCCCCAGTAGCTGGATCACTATAGAAAGCTCCAATATTCTTCCAGCTATCCCAGCTCATTGCATCTCCTTTTGTGGGAAGGTGCTGTACATCCTATCCACAAAACAACCCAGGGTATGAGCAGCCCCTCACAGAAAGCAGGCAAGATATACTCTGGATTATTTCATCAAACTCTCTTATACTGAACTCCAGAAACAGTTGTGCCAGTGCCAGTGAGGGACTACAGCATGGGGTAGGGGGAGGCTCCCACTGGTGGGCAGGGAGCACTGACTGAAATATCTTAATGCTTTCAGGCAGTCAACTGAAATACTCCTTTCCCTAAATTGTCGGTACACCTAAAAAGAAATCAGCGGGCAACTGCAGATAGCTGGAAAACCTGCAGGGGGAGATCCAATCTATGCTGCTTTGCCATTTTTCCCTCTTTCCCAACAGCTGGAGCTTGAAAGCATCTCCAAGACATCTCGGCTGCTCCTGCCAGGTCTCTGGGAGTATAGGGACCAAACAAATCAAGAGATGTCCCTCAGCTATGTCTCATGCAGCTTTATCCTAAGGGCAGGAACCTGCTGTGCAGATGCTTGTGATAACCTATAGGTAATGCTCTGAGCATTGCAACTAGTAACACAGGGAACTATTTTGGGCACCAATGTGAATAAAAAAATTGCTTCCATGACTGGAAAGTCAGGTCAGGTATGGAGCCTATCAGCTACTGGTGTGAGCAGCATTTTCCAGGCTCTTTATTTTTTTGTCAGGTTCACTGTAACTGCCCACATGATTCCCCCCAAGAGACCTGGCTAAACCTTAGGATGTTCCAAGTGTTCTGCTTCCAATGGGGAGCAGAATCCAGCACCTCAGGATGCGTCCTAGCAACTCCACAAAGTCATATCCGGATTGAGAGGACCCTCCACTCCACCTAGCTCTTGAAATCAGACGCTCAAGAGTCAGAAAGGCCAGCAGGGAGCAGATGAGGTTGTGCCTCAGTTAAGCACTGAGCTGTGAGAGGTCCTACGTGCTCAGGGTGGTGTCTGTGTTTCTTTGCAGCCGAAGGCGGATCGCGGCGCTGGGTTTGGCCCCTTTCCAACCAAATGCCCCGACTACTCGTCTTTTCAATCTGATTTCCTGTTGCTCACTTTCTGTGTTGTTCCAGTGAGTCTCACTAGCCAGGGAGTGGTAAGGGATGCACACTGGGGAGCCGATGCTTGACAACTTGATTATCTCGGTGCCAGATGTATGGGCTGCTCAGGCAGGAGGCTTGGCACAAGCAGAGCAGGGTGAAATTCATCACAGCAGTACAGTGCTGCTGGGCATTGAGCAAACGTGAAAAACTGATGATGTCTACTGCAAAGGCTGTTTCTTCTCAGTCTGTCACAGCTTCTGTAGCGCTGGAGATGAATAGCCCTGAAGCAAAGATGTTTGCCTGATACATTTCAAAGAGTGCTTACTCTCAGCTTCTAAATTTGGCTGATTTCCTTTCAACTATACAGTGATAGCCTTTTTAATAAATGCTAGAATGGGGAGCATTTCCACAATTCACAGATGAAGAAAACATAACAACTGCCTTGAAACTCCAAAGGATAAAAATTGTTGTCGTGTATTCCACTTGCTTCTTAGTGTCAGACCATGGTTCTGACCCAACCAGCACCTGAGGTTTGGGTATAAAGAGCTTACACTGCCTATGGTCAGTGGCTATCTGTACAGCCATAGCACCTGAGCTACTCTGCAGAGTATGTTCTCACTCTGTCACAATTATACCATAATACACAAAAATAGGAACTGCCCTGTCTGTCAATCCAGATGCTTCAAATAAAGTTTTCAGAGATGCCTTTCATCGAGGCACAGGATTCCTACAGCATTTTTGTTCTGCTTCATGGGAATGTCCACTGCCTCTTTCTTCCCTGTTATCTCAATACTGAGGTCTTCCAATTTTCATGTAAGCTCCATGTCTCCCCCCCGGACTTTAGCACAAGGAGAGTGATGAGGGGTTATGAGCAGGTCTTCAGGTTTGCCCTCCCTCAGCTCCTCGGGAGGGTCAGGAGCTGAGGACATCCTTTGGAGAAGGAAGGAGGTGCGTCTTGCCAAAGTGCTGTGGTCTTTGGAGGCCATGAATGAATGCAGCTGTGATGTAGGAGGTGTGAAGAGGGTGTGGAGCTGGTATGGTACGGCCACGGAGCTTGTGATGGGGCCAGCATCATCTCAGACTCAGCACGTACTCAGCACTGGGTAGGTCAGAGGCAGGGACATTCAGTTCCCTTTGCTCTGTGCATGGGAGCCCTGGCTCCTAGGGGGTCTGAGCTGTCAGGATGCCCAGTGTCCTAGTTCCTACTTCTGGCTGCACTGTCTTCATTGAGCGGCTGTTTTCCCAGCTGCTATCCTCTCCTCTGGAGGAGGTGACTTGTCATGAGTCATCCTCTTCGGGAAAAAAAACTTCTGGGTTCTTCCCCCCATGGTGCAAGCAGATGAGGGGGAAGATATCCATAACTATTTTATTTCCAAGGTCTCAGCTGGGAGCAGGAAGATTGGAAAATGCAGCCTGAAATTCTTAACTCAGGGTGTCACTTGTGAACAGGAGTCGGATAGAAGCATGCAGGAAACGTTCTCACCGACTTTAAACTTGAAAGTTAAACAGTTCTTGAGTTAAAAACAACACCAGCTTCTCATCCTTTTTGTAGCACAGGATGATCTGGTGGGATGCAAAAGATCTGCATTCTATTTGTGGCTCTTGTCACCAGCTTCCTATGGCCTTGGACCAGACGCCTAGCGTCTTGATGTGTCTCCATTTCCTTCTCCTTAAGGCAGGGGTTGATCCCATTTACCTGCCCTGTACAGATGCTCTCGAGACTTCCTTTGTATCATAAAAATATAGGAAAAGCTGCACCGGATCAGGCCAAAGACCTAATTCTGTGGTTCCATAGCCAGGGCAGGCTCCTGAAGCATCCTCAGCGCTGGGGAAAGCGCTAGCAATGCCCCTCCCTGCCTTGGCCGCTCTGTGCGCTCGGGGCCGCTCTCCCAGTCCCCCCTGGGGAGCTCCGAGCACCGCACCTGGGCGGTGCGGGATAGTCGGGGTCAGCCGGTCGGGCTGGAAACTCCGCGGGGCCGGAGTCGGGACGAAAGCCCCGCAGGGAGCGGTCGGTGCCCGCCGTCGGCGGGGAGGCGGCCCGGGGAGGGCGTGCTCCCGGCGGAGGATGTGCCGGGGGCGGGAGGGGGTGCGCGGTGGGAGGTGGAGAAGTTATAAATCAGCGAAGCCGGGGCCGGCCGCTAATTGATGTCCGCGGGAGGTGAAGCTGGCAGGGCGGCTGGCCGCGGACACTCCCTTTCCGCGGGACGGGGCGGGCGGGGAGGGCTGCGGGGCCGCTGGATGCTGATGCCGCGCCGCTATCTCCGCCACGGCGGGAGGAGCCCGGCACCGAGGAGAGCCCGTCGGAGCTCGGTCGGCGCCTCCGCCTCTCTGCCGTCTCCACGGAAAGAGCCCCGCGCCGCCTCGGGCAGGACCATGCCCCGCCAGCTGCTCTCAGGGACCGTGCTGCTGGGAGCCGCCTTCCTGCTCGCAGGTAGGAGTCCGCCGGCCCCCGCCACCCCCCGCCCGGCCTCAGGCTCCCCGGAACGCTCCCCATCGGCGGCTCTCCCCGCCGCGTCGCGGCAGCCGGTGGGCACCTGCCCGCCCGACCGCCTCCCTCCGTTCCCAGGGCGGGCGCGGAGACGGGGTGCTGGGGGGCGCCGAGCCGCTCCGCGGCGTGGGTCGTCGCGATGTCCGAACCCGTGCCTCGAGGAGGAAAAGCAAGCTCTGGTCGCGGGGTAGGCTGCTTTCCAGCCCGCTTTGTTTTTCAAGAGTCACTTCTGCCCGTGAGGCAGAAAAGTGCCCCCGATGCGAGCAGGGCAGGGAGCGCGTCGCGAGTTCCTCCCGGCGGGGCAGGACGGGGCTGCCCGCATCCCGCGGAGCTGCGTGTGACGGGATGGTTCCGCGCCCGCTGCAAAAATCCGCTGCGCCTAATGGCGATGTTTTTGGGATTGGTTGCTTCGGCTTTTCTCGCTTCGAAAAAAAAAAAACGCCGTGATCAGGGGATGACAGAGAGCTGTTGGAGAGGATCCAGAGGAGAGCCACAGAGATGATCAGGGGACTGGAGCATCTCCCCTACGAAGACAGACTGAGGGATCTGGGCTTGTTCAGCCTGGAGGAAAGAAGGCTGTGGGGTGACCTCATTGCAGCCTTTCAGTACCTAAAGGGAGCCTACAAACAGGAGGGGAATCAACTCTTTGAAAGGGTAGATAACAGCAGGACAAGGGGAAATGATTTTAAGTTGAGGGAAGACTTAGGTTGGATGCCAGGGGGAAACTCTTTACAGAGTGGTGAGGTGCTGGAACAGGCTGCCCAGAGAGGTTGTGGATGCCCTGTCCCTGGAGGTGTTCAAGGCCAGGTTGGATGGGGCCTTGGGGAGCCTGGTCTGGTATTAAATGGGGAGGTTGGTGGCCCTGCATGTGGCAGGGAGGTTGGAGCTTCATGATTCTTGAGGTCCCTTCCAACCTGGGCATTCTGTGATTCTGTGATCCTGTGGGGGAGCGTGTCCCCCTAGGGGCTAAGTACTGTGTCAGTGGCCCCGGTGCTGCAGTGCTGCCCAGAGGAAAGCTGGTGGGGCCATGCCGCTGAGACATTTTCCTGCTCGGGAAGTGCTGATTCATCAGCTTTGTTATAGACATATAGGTATTCTTCTATATATTTTTTTTTTCCTCCCAGGGAAGTGTTAATTTCCCTGCTTTATTTTTTCTCTGCTGTGCCCTCCTTGGCATAAGGATGGAATAGGCACAGGCGTGGGACTCTCGTAGATACAGGAAACATGGGTTGAAATCCTTGCCAGGCTTTCTTCACAGCTTGAGCTTGAACTTCGGTGTCCCTCTCCCACATGGGCTCCCGCGGTGCCGAGCTGTGCTGGGGCACTGGTTTCCTCTTTCCTGTCAGAAAGGTTTCCCATTGTGCAAACTGCGGCAAACCCACTGTCCTGGAAGAAGGTGGATTCAGTGACAGAGGCTCTGTAAGGGACCCTGGCTCACCTTCCTGCTCCAGGCACTGTCAGCGGCACACGCACCCTACGCCAACTCCAATGGGAAAGGCTTGCCTTGGTTAGGGGAAACCCGGTGTGCTGGGTGCTGGGCAGTGGAGACACACGCCCTGGCTCAAGTGCAGTAGGTACGGAGTGGTGCCTCCTGGTTGTGTGACTGAATGCCTTCACAACTGGTTTGCTGGAAATTTCTTTCCTCTCTTACAAGTATGGGAGGTATAGTTCCAGTCCAGGGCTCAGACTTTGAAAACATCTTTGACTTTGCTGTGCCTTCCTTCTTTCTTATTTTTTAAAAAAGCAACAGCGTTGACAACGATCAAGCTTCTTCTAGGTCAGAACTGAAGCTCTTGTAGGCATACAGCATTTCAGAGTTGTCGTGAAGTGGTGGAATGTTCTCTGCAAGTCATCTCTAGGTGTTCCTTCCCATTTCACCCTCCTTCACTGCCTACTTACCTGAAACTCTCACTCAAGCTGTCCAGCACTTCCCTTTTGAGTGTTCTCAATGCTTCACTCTTGTAATTCAGACTCTGCAGGTGTCAGCTGAGTTTCCATTTACTGACTGGTACTGGAGAATATTCACAGAAAGAGTCAGGTGTTACAGACACCTCCATAGCGAAGGGACAGAAAGAGAGATGATCTTTAACTTGTATATGGCTATTTAATAATTCCAATTTCCTCCAGACAACACGAAAACTAAAAGTTTCCGTTTGAAAAAGTAGGTAAAGGAAATAATAGAAATCATGTTTCTTTGACTCAGGAGTCTTGAGCACTTCAGCCCTCTGGTGTTTCTATGCACATTTGTATTTCAGCTATCAGAGGAAAGAAGTCTCTGCTTTGTGCAATACTACATATATTTCTTTCATCGTTTGTATGTATCGTTTGTATTCCACAAACTATATTGCATACCATTATGCTAAAGACTGTGCACGCAATGGTTGACATGAGGACTTCAGTGCCATATTTAGGTTTGATCTCCTAGTCACAGACCTCGTATGACAATAATTTTAATCAATAGCATTTGAGAATGTAAAGAGCTGAGTTTAAATCCTGAAATGATCAGGTTCTGCAGCCTGAATCAAGGATGATGTGTCTGTATTTCCAGAAACATGGGATGGATAAATCAGCTTTATTTCCAGCTGTCAGCACCCTGGCAATACCTCACAATTAGCAGCTAGAAGATAAAGAGAATATATTACAACCTTATCTGTGGACACCACTATACAAGCCTGAGTTATTCCAGTTGGAACTAGATCATCAATGTCTCCAGCGACCGATGGACTTTTCAATTTCATGGTCAGCTGCAAAAAATGAAGAAAGTAATTCTAGGTCAAATCTGAACTGCTTTGAGGTTAATTTCTTGCAATAACTAACCTGACTTCCCTAAAAGTGCTGATCAGATTGAAGCTCGTACGTTAAGGTTTCTATGTGATTTGAGTGCTCAGCTGAAACAGAAGCAGAGACGTGCAGCTACAGTGGTCTAATTTAGGATTAGGGCTGGAAATTTCAACAGAGTGCTGAAAAATGGACTTTCCCACTTCTGAATCTTTATGGAAATTGGGTTCCCTAAAACAAGCTACATTCATGTTAGGCAGAAGAGTTAGACCTTATGGTACAACACAGGCTTTTAAGAAGTTTTATACATTGCCATGGGTTTTTTTTGCATTCCTGAAGAGAATCCATTAAATTACTTACCGCTGTTTTACCAGGCAGGTGCTGTGCCCACATACTCTACAGAAATCCATATTTCACCCTCTCATTGGGTTGGTGTAATCCAGAGCAATTGCTTTGGGCTAAGCCAGCAAGTTCTTTATGTTTCATGCAAAAGGAAATGAGTACTTGACATGTACCCTAGAAAAGAACTTCATATCTAGAATCACCCAGAACATTTAGAACCCTAAAAGGAAATTGTTATTGGGAAGAACTGGAGATTAGTTTGGTTGTCATTTGTTGTTTTTCTTTTTTTTTTTTCTTTTTTACATGTAAACAAAATCCAACAAGCCAAGCTATTATTGTCAGATGCTGCAAAGACTGAAACCAGTAGCCCTTCGCACTGTGTGGGTGTATAGGACCAAAGGAAGTTGTCCAGATTTTCAGGACAGTTGCTGAGTCCTTACACTTTAATGTGGTTTGGAAACTTCAAGCACAAATATTTATCAAGTCGCTAGTTTTTGTGTCCGACTGACATTGGGAAAGGAAGAGGCGCAGCAGATGAGGGCGAAGGCTTGGCATTTCGGCAATCTGTGTCCAGTGGGGCTGTGATGATGCTTTATCAGCAAAACTGCTCCCTTGGATTCCCTAAAACTAGGGGCTGGAATTCCAGTTGCAGCCCCTGAGGGAATGGAAAGCCACCTTGCTCTGAGAGTGCTCTCTGCACCTTGCCTTACAGCACTGTGTGCTCAGCCACTGCTGCCACCTCTGCGGTTGGAGGCAAACCTCTCCCATTGGGGTGACATCTTCAGCAGCTAACTGCTCCCTTCAGACCTGCTTCATCTTTGTGTCCTTCTTTGCCCCCAGCAGACTGTTGCTTTTTTTTTCCCCTCTATCAATGTTTGTAGGAATGTGGGAAATCATTTCTATATGTACTTTAGCCTGGATTCTACCCATGGGCAGCACCTGCCTCTCTTCTCTTTGCTGTTGTGATGCACTCCTACTACATGCAGGCCACAGATGGGGAACGACCTTCCCAGCATTCCTAGTTCTGAGTGACCTGATTTCTCATCCTACCATGAGGGAAACCATCTGAAAGCTGGTTCAGGGGCGGACAGGAAGGTGTGCAGACAGTTGTCTCTCACCAAGTTGAGTTTCATTGTTCTGTGGTTGGAGTCAGTGCCGTATAAATCCATGTTGTTAAAAGAAAGTGATGTATGCAGCAAGAAGCAGTTGGAAAAGTGAAAGCCAAGTGCTTGCTGCAGAGCCAAACGTGGTGCCGTCGTGCCCATTATGACTGGCAGAATGACTTTGTGCCAGAGATAATCAAAACTGCAAGCACTGAGAAATACTAGGGTGTGGGAGAAAAAATTCAAACCTGCATGTCGGGGGTCCTATTGCCTGAAATGGAAGTCTGGAACTATTAGGACATATGGAGGAGTTTGTACTGGGAGTGTAGATGACTGTTTCTTCTGCTTTGCATCATGGTTGGCAGTTGTTTTGTTTTACGCTGGTGGCTGGAGCTGTGCCACCTTTGATATGTCAACAGTCATGGAGAGAAAGAGGATATTGCTAATGACACCTCTGTGTTACTCAAGACAGTGATTGATTTTTGAAAAGTAGTTGACTGATTTATTCATCTTCTACCCTAGACTTTGGTTTGGTTTGTTTTATCGAAGGAGAGAAAGGCTCACATTCACAATGACCTGGTTTTACTGTCCCTGTTGTTTCTCCAAACTTCAGTTGATTTTCACAACCAAATCAATTTGTCTATATCCCCAGTGTTAAGTCAGCCATATACAATATTTACATTACAATCCAGTGTGATGGGATTGACCCATCTTCCATTT